GAAAAAAAAAAAAAAAAAAATTCAATACTTTCGTAAAGGTATTTAGTGAGGAGGTTGGTTTTATTGATCTATCTATCTATTTATCTATTTATCTATCCAACTATCTTATCGATCGGTTTCTTAGCAAAAGAAAGATTTGGGGGGGGGGGGGTGATGTGCTGGGTGCGTGGATAATAAGCGAGAAGGATTGCACGGAGGGGTGGAAGGAAAGCCCAATCAGTCATGAAGGAATATTGAAAAGGGGGGGGTGGTCTTCGCTTATAGGCCCCGGTATCTACATACGATTCGACAGAGGCGCTCCAATGCCAGCTCAAATAATCATCACGATTGATAGAAAACCCATGTAGACTTGGATTTCATTTCAATAGTTTTTTGTGCGCCTCAAGTACCAATGTATCCCCAGAAGAAAAATACAGCAGCAGAGATACTCCATCTTGCCTGAATTATCGGGGATTGAAGGAAAAAAGAACGAGAAATGCTCCCATTACAAAGCACTGCCAAGCTCGCAACCTAAATAACTACTTAAACATCAACCCCAAATTCATACTGTCATCTTCGCTAGGTATCAACCACATCTCCCCCTCTATGAACTGCTGCGAGTCGCACGCTTCTCGGCCTTAGCCTTATCTACTCCAGATGCGGCAGCTTCTACGACCTTCTCCTTAGCGTCCACGGCAGTGGCCTTGGCCTTCTCGGCAGCCTTCTTGACTTGAGGAGGAGTCGACGAGCCGCTGGAAGAGACGATACCGATGATGAGAGCGATGAGGGTGACGAAGACCGCGGCGAGCCCACCGGCAGCCTCAGGCACGAACTTGATGGCTTGGATAGGGTCTTTCTGGGCGATGGTGAAGAAGAGATCAAGCTTCTCCTTGACGTAGTGGACAGGGTCATCTTTGAAGACAAGGTCGGATGGGGACTTGGCGGGCTTGGAATCATCCGCCTTTGGCTTCTCGGCAAGCTCAATCAATTGCTCAACCGGGTGCTTCTCATTGAAAGTCTCGTCGGCGAACTTCTCAGCGTCGGCGACGGAGTGACCAATGTAGATGTTATCAAAGAGGATGTCGTTTTGCATGGTCCAGATCTCGAAGCCGATGGCTCCCATGGGCTCCAAGTTGGACGGGTGCTTGTCCTCGTAGTAGTCGGGGTTCTTGATCTTGCGGGGGGCCCAGGCACCCTTGTAGGCCGGGTTGTCAATGTATGGTGCGCTTCCCTAGATTAGCATTGACTGATGCTGAAAGGTTTGGGGATTCTCACGTCCACTTCCCCTTGTACGCCGGGTTCTTGATCATCGGCTTCTCCCATTTTCCACAACCAGATACCTCCTCACACTTGGGGTTGCTGACGGTTGGGGCGCTTCAAAGTTGTCAATACAATTCTATCCGAGCAAGGTAGAGATACTCACACCCAGTCTCCATCTTCCTCATCATCCCAGTCCTCGGGCTTGGTGGCCTCTGGGTCGGGGATGGTGACAGGCTCGTTGTCAAGCCAGTCCTCAGGCTTGGTAGCATTCTCGTCAACGATCTCGTATGGGGCATCCTCATCGTGGTCCTCTGGCTTCTTGGCCTCGGGGTCTGGGATTCTGGCCTCATCAACCCAGTCGTCTGGCTTGGTGTCCTTCACGTCATCAATCTCCTTGGGGGGGTTGAAAGCTGGGGAGAAGTCCTCGAGGAGGTTGACCTCCTTGACTTGCTCGTTGTTCAATTTGATGATAGCAGTGTTGTTAGGATGAATGATCAAAGTGTAGAGCTCGGTAGTCCTGACAATACGGGCCGATGGGGCCGATGCCAAATGCTTCTCTTCATACTCGCCGGTCTTGGGGTTCTTGTGGTTGATGATCAAGTGAACCTTGTTGGTGGAGCCACACTTATCGGGTCCAAACATGATCACGTAGGGGGAGGTATTGGAGAACTCATCCTGGTGGAGAGCCTTGTTGTCCCGGAGGAGCTTCAAGTAAGCACCACCACACTCAAGTCCGTCTACAGATGATTAGCCAGGCTGGCCGGAGCTTTTGCCAGCAGATCTGGTATAGGTACTCACTTTGGAGCTTGACCTCGTATTGAACCACGAGAGTCTTGCCCTTGTTATCGATCTTCTTAGGGAACTTGGCAGAGATGGCATGATGCGCAGCAGCGTTCTTCACAACCAAGCCCTTGTCACCCTCCATTCCCTTGAAGACTCGTGGCTCTTCCACAGCCCATTCTCCAACATATGCCCACTCCTCATCCTTGTCGGAACCCTTGGTGTCCTTTTTGGCGTGGGACGGCTTCCATCTTGCCTCCCAATCGTCTGTGAACTGCTCCACGAAGTCGGCTTTGATAGTGGAAGGCTGCACGCAGGATCATTAGCTTTGCTCCACCGCGCACTAGGACATCCTGCGAAGGGAATACCCGAGGGGAAAAAAACTCACGGTGAAAGTGGGGAGAGTTGGAAGATCCGTCTTAGGTGATGGAGAATCACCGGCGACACTTGTGGCAGAGGAGCTGTCCTCGGCCAGGACAGCCTGAGCATCAGCCTTGACAGTCCCAGAAAGGACTGCAGCTGCGGCAAGGGCAGCGGGAGTAGAGAGACGCATCTTGATCACAAGAGATGGAATGGATCAACTAATGATTGAAGGCGTCGACTGTGGTAGAAGACTGGCGTGGGCGGTATTGCTTCCAGAGCTCGATGGGTGAATGACAAGCAGAAAGGGATTGGAGATGGGAGATGGGAGATGGAGACGATGACAGTTGAGGTAGTGGTGGTGGTGGTGGTGGTGGTGGCTTTAATAACGTAGTCGCGGCAACCAGTGGAGAGAGCTAAATGTCCAGGTGTCCTCTTGTAAGCAGAAGCTGGGGTGGCTCGGCAGCGCGAGAGGGAAGTGGAGTGAGTGGCTCGTACAAGTAAAGAATCGAGGTCCGAAGATAGAGTTATTTATGATTACTTCTTTCTACCATGCAATCAGAATCATCATCAGTTACTTAGAAGTAAGATAGATGCTCACTCAACTCTGCAATAAAGGGTCAATGCAGGTTATCTGGAAAGCGGATTAAATTCGGAATCATCAACAGACTCTACGATTAAGCGCTTTGTCTTCTCTCATCTGGCCTTTACGGACAGCTATTACCGGTACTACGTACCTACCTCTGCTACCTATTGTACACTACCGGTAGTACTACAATATACTCTGTAGGTAAATCCTTCTGTGACCCACATCAACAGAGCCGCTCCAACGAAGGTTCTAGCACCAAATAAGATAAGCAATGCAGGACAGACAGAATTGCGCCGGTTGAGTCGTGAGGCCAGCATATCTGTCCCCATGCGTTGATCGTTTGAAACTGGGGAAGGCGATTGCAACGCTCTGTATGGTTGGCTACGCCTCGATCTAGTAAATCTAACTTTTTATTTGAGATGATTTGCGACATGGGGACAGATATGCTGGCCTCTCGACTCACGAATACCGGTACCGGTATAATATACAACAACGGTAGCTGATGGCCGACATTTGCTTGCGCCAGGCTGTTAGTTGTCAGACATAGGTAGCGATGTGAGAGGAATTGGGATATTGAATTGATACCGTACTATACCTTAATACAACATTAGCCGGTCAAAAGCAGGAATAGGTACAGAGGCAGACGCAAACGCAAACAAACGCATACGCAAATGCCACAGCAACGACTGCCTGGTTTCCCCAGACACCTTTGTCGGATAAATATAATTGCGAGAAGCCCCATATTCTAACCCCGCTATCAAAACAGATTGAACTTCATGAATTTCCGACTCGCAAAACAATAGCATAACTCGTGTCCTGGCTCTGACCGTTGGGCCCCATCAACAACATGACCACCACCACTACCACCACTACCACCACTTCTCAAGACCCGAAAGACAACAATGACCACCTGGTACAGTCTGCGGACAGGAAACACCCTGCAAATCTCATCCCAGAGCTATGCAAGAAATTCTGGCACTTGGGCTGGGTGACAGGAACTGGTCTGAACTCACTCTCTCAAGTCTTCTCTCTCATAGCCCGAGACTAACAAATGTCCTTATAGGGGGAGGAGCCAGTATCCGAGATGAGTATGTCAGCTCCCTCAACCATATAAATCCGCTCGCTACTCAATCCCTTCCAGCGACCTGGTCTATCTCGCCCCCTCCGGCGTACAAAAAGAAATGATGCAACCCTCAGACATCTACGTTCTCTCCATCACCGCCCAGCTCGACCCCAAGCAGCGCATTTACCTCCGCTCTCCACCCCACTACAAACCCTCACAATGCACGCCCCTGTTTATGGCCGCGTTCACCAAACGCAACGCGCGCTGCTGCATCCACTCGCACTCTCAATGGGCCGTACTGATCACCTTGCTTCTCGAAAACGCCCCTTCCAATAACCGCTTGTTTGAAATCAATAACATTGAACAGATTAAGGCATTTGGAAAGGGTTATCGGAAGCAGGGGAACTTAGGCTACCATGATACATTGAGGATCCCGGTCATTGAGAATACGCCATTTGAGGAGGATTTGACGGAGAGTTTGGAGGAGGCTATGGAGAAATACCCGGACACCTATGCGGTGTTGGTTAGGAGACACGGCTTGTATGTTTGGGGCGATACGGTCGATAAGGCGAAGGCACAGGCTGAAAGGTCAGTTGGTGTCTTCACTTGCAGTAACTGACTGAGGCTGACAGCTGTAGCCTGGATTACCTCTTTCAACTTGCGGTCGAGATGAAGAAGCTAGGTCTTCCATGGTTGAGCGATATTGCTTGAGTTGCGAATAGTTTCGAGGTTCGCCACAGTCTGCATCGGGCTACCTCCGCCCGCATGGTAAATAATGCCATCACACGTAATTGAGCGGTAGGTGGGCAAGTAGTAATCCATAGGTTTGGACTAGCGAGTGACGCTTTGTAACTCAACCCTTACGATCATAAAACCCGACTGCTCAGACTATGATTACAACCTCCAGAATGACCAGAATGACCATAAGTTACCAATGATATGATAGGTGTACCAGTAGTGAGTGACTAATACGGCACGGAGGATATTTACTACAATCGCAGGCGGGATATTCAGTAGGTACCGGTACCTACCTGTACCTACCGGTACCTACCTACCTGGTGGCGCGTTGGCAATGAATGTCACTTCCCGATGCTGATTGGCTCGGCTAGACCCCTGGCCATGTGGACAATAGTATCTTGTTCTTCGCTAAAGGTCGAGTCGCCCCTGGCCTTCGATCGTCGATGTTGACTCTGGAAATTTCTTGAACAAGACTCGGAAAGCGTTACATCGCCTCGAATCAGAAAAGATCGTGAGCCAATATTTACGATTCCCCACGACAAGAATTATACGTACACAATACAAACATGGAAACTCGACCCTCTTGTTCCGCCACCCTCGCTTTCCCAGTCCCAGACCCAAACGAGAAAGCCGCATCCCGATCATCAGATCTTGAGAAAGCCCAGCCCTCCTCCAGCATACCAGAAGAGCTCCCAGAACACGACAACGGAAGGAATTCCGAGAACAGAACCAAGACTTCAGCGTTCAAGAGCCTGGGATGGCTGGACCGCTTCCTCGCGCTATGGATCTTCCTCGCGATGGCCGTGGGCATTCTCCTGGGGAACTTCGTGCCGAGCACCAGTTCGGCGCTCCAGAAAGGGAAGTTTGTCGGGGTTAGTGTGCCGATTGGTATGTTTCCCCTTCTCGAATATCTTTAACTTGACTTCCTCTTTCAATGTGGAGATTCACAGTGAGCTATATGTAGATGAAATAAGTTAGAAACCAATACCAACTGACGCCATCTCAGCTGCTGGCTTATTGGTGATGATGTATCCCATCCTGTGCAAAGTTCGCTTCGAGACCCTCCACCAGGTCCTCCGCAAAAGAGAAATCTGGGCACAGATTCTATTCAGTGTCATCGTTAACTGGATCGTGGCGCCTCTATTCATGGTGCATTCCCTCCTCTCCCCGAAACCCACTTTCCGTTCGAAGTCAACAAACGACTAACAGCTCGCAACAGCTCGGTCTCGCCTGGGCCTTCCTTCCCGACAAGCCCGGTCTCCGCGAAGGCCTTATCCTCGTCGGCCTGGCACGCTGCATCGCCATGGTTCTAATCTGGACCGGGCTCGCGGGCGGCGACAACGAGTACTGCGCCATCCTGGTGGCCGTCAACTCGCTCCTGCAGATCGTTCTCTACGCGCCCCTCGCCATCCTCTTCATCCGAGTCATCTCCGGCGAAGAAGAAACCACTGACAGTACGTCACCAAAAGATTTCCACTCCCCCCCCCTCTTCTTTTTTTTTCCAGCATATCTTAATCTGCTTCCGATACTATTCCGAATCAGCCAGGAAATTACTGACTCCCCGGTGTCGTACAGTCGGATACCCCGTCGTCGCCCAATCCGTCGCCGTATTCCTCGGCATCCCCTTAGCAGCAGCGATCCTCACGCGCGCCACGTTCAGGAACCTAGCATCACCCGCGTGGTACGACGGCGTCTTTCTGAAGTGGGCAGCGCCCTGGTCGCTCATCGGCCTCCTCTTCACGATCCTGATCCTCTTCGCGTCCCAGGGCCGCGAGGTCGTGCACCAGGTCGTCTCCGTGGTCCGCGTGGCGGCGCCCCTGCTCGTGTACTTCGCCGTCATCTTCTTCCTGACGCTGCTCGTCGCCCGCAAGCTGGGCTTCGGGTACCGGCTCGCGGCCACGCAGAGCTTCACGGCTGCGAGCAACAATTTCGAGTTGGCGATTGCCGTTGCCGTTGCGACGTATGGGCCGGACTCGGATCAGGCGCTGGCGAGCACGGTGGGCCCGCTGATTGAGGTCCCGGTCCTGCTGGGGCTGGTGTACGTCGTAAAGGAGATCGGGAGGCGGAGAGGCTGGAAGGATTAGAGGGTAGGGCAGGAGGACAAAAAGAGAGAAAGAGAGGAAAGATGGGGGTGAGATGGATGATGGAAGTGGGTCATGTAGACAACATACTTCAGTTGAAAATACACGTATTTCTATTATTTACGGATCGAACTGCCCGCCAGCTAGCTGCCTGCATTAATTGATATCTATTTGATGACGAGCAGAGCAACTGCGAAGACTACCTACCTACCGCGGAGAGGAGCCACTAGCCGTAAAAAAAATTATGCGCTATCTACTAATGCTGCTATTTCTTCTCTACCTGCTCCTTTCTTTTCTCGCCAGGCAATGACATATTTGATTTGGTTGATTCGAATTGAGGTGAAGAATATCATATCGGAGAATCTGATAAGATGTGGTCGGTTTGGTAGTTGGTTGGTTGTAAAGTGAGGTAAGTACTGCTGCACCTTATATACTTACTTAATTATATATATATATTTACGTTTATGTATATGTATATGTATATATACAGGGCTCGCATGCATAGACGGCGACGTCTCCGGTTAAGAAACAGTTATTGAACATGCGTCTGCTCAGACTCCCTCGTCCGAGCCCTCTCCAGCCTCCCCGCGGGCACCTCGCCCAGCTTACACCTCAGAAGCTCCAACATGGCCTTCTCTTCCACGTCCAGGCTGACCCAGTGCGGCACGACCACCCGGTCGCCGTGAATCACAATCCTCCCCTCCGCACCCGCACCCACAACCTCATTATCATCCTCGCCCTCACCCTCACCCTCACCGGCCTCGCCACAGACATCAAGACCCGCCTTCTCAGCACTCTCCGCTTTCGGGCTTCCGCCTGCCTCAACATTCCCGCTTTCGCTTCCTTTCCGCGCCGACCGCCGGAGATCCTCGGGCGTCCACCAGTACAGCGGGAAGCGCCGCTGCAGGTTGTTGAGCAGGCACGCCACGGCCAGCATCAGCGTGCTGCCCAGCACCACCAGCGGCACCAGGAACCAGCCGATCCTCTCGATCTCCGGGGACGTGGCGGCCAGCAAGGCCGTCGCGCCGGCCGGCGGGTGGATCGTTTTCGTGACGCCCATCAGGACGGAGGCGAGGCCTACCGAGAGCGCCCCGGCGACCCAGCGGAGGGAGGAGAAGGACGGGGAGAGCGCGAAGAGTTTGGTGATGGAGACGCCCATCAGGGAGGAGATGAGCTGCCCGAGGAAGGCGTTGCGGGGCTGGGAGAGGGGGGAGTCGATGGTTGAGAATTCGAGAATAGCTGCTGCGCCCTGTTTTTTCTCCCGGGCGCCCGAATCAGCAATTGAGATCTAGAATTGGAAAGATTGAGGCAGAGAAGAAGAGGAGGCGGCACTGGGGGGAGGGGATGGGTGGGTTCACGAACCAAGCTGGCTATCACGATAGGCGCGCCATCTGATTTCAATTGACGGCTTTGAAAGACGGCTTCGATGATTAGTATGGAGGCGAATGCGCCGATGAAGGCCCTGAAGGAAACAAACTCTTAGGTTAGCATGTCTATTTTTTTTGGTATGTATACGTATATGTATATATTCCATCATTTTCCTTCCCATTTTTTCAAGAGCAGGTAGAGAGATGTATGTTTTGGGGAAACAGGCCGCGGAGCATACTTTCGAGACAGCCCAGATCCGGCAACAGATATTCAGAAAAGTTGTACTTACCAGAACCATATGAGTATATTCCCAATGGGCTTCTGGGGGGTAGATCTATGGCCGAGGAACCAGGATATCGGCTTTGGGAGGTGGGAGAGGAACGAGCGGGGGATGAGGCGGTTGAGGTAGCGGTCTACGTCGAAACTGGAGGTAGAGTCCGGCATTGAGCCTGCTTGATATGTGATCGATCGTGTGCGTATAGACCGTACTGATCGCGACTTGACTTCTATCAGAAGTCCGTAGTTGGGGGTAATCCCAATCCTAAAGAAAAGGGGAGGACGAAAGAGCTCAGATGCCTCCACGAAACCGCCAACATTTGCCCTGAGCCAGAGAGAACGGACGTGAGAGAAAAGCCGATTTTGATACGCATTTCCTTGTCAAACACGGCAGAAAAGGAAGAAGGCCAGGTGAAGTGAGCAGAAGCAAGACATGGCATGAGGCTTGATTCAAGTAGCCCTCCCTCTCTGATCACCGCCCTCAAATGCAAATGCCAAAATGCGCAAACACGACGCTAACGCAACAGTACCAATCTAATGACAGAAGGAATTTGCATCTCCGGAGCTGCGTAGCACGGTCTTCCGTTACAGACCCAAGTAGGTACTCGAGCCCCCCGACCCGTCCGTGGACATCAGCATCATGGGACTCCACGAGAAGATCCGGAGTAGGCGCCTTCAAATTAGATCCAAGATCTAATAATTATAGGCTACCACCAAGCGAGAATGCTTAATCCGACATTCCCGCCACTGATCGGGTCTGTGCGAATGGGAAAAGGGGGAATAGGTATTTATTACCGTCTATAACAGCATTGATGGGATTTCGGCGGGTGAGCGGTTGAGCGTCTCGGCCGCTAGAAGCGATGACACATGCAGTAAATAGGTCGGTATGTGCGGTAGCGGGATATATATCTATCACGTGGCAGTGCGGGCGACCCTGCATTCCGAAATCCCGAGGGATGGTTATTGCTGAGTCGAGATGTTCCATTTGGAGCGCATTTATGTGTATCCGAGATTCGAGTTCGAAAGAGGCTGTTTAGTTTGAATCCAGATGGGCTTTGAAGCAAGGTGTTTGCTACAGGTAGCGGTTTGAGAGCTGCCATGCCATTGCTGAGAAATACATGCTTATAGACCATACCTATACATGCATACAAACGGGTGAGCTCCTCGTAAACAAGCCCATATTGTTATAAGCCGTGCAAATATCTCTTACACTGGCCATTCAACCCCCCCTTGTCAAATGGGCGCACCATCCACAACTTGACCATAAGGCACAGCCTCGTAGTCCCCGTTACAAGCTTCATCATATCTTGCCAGCTCCTCCGCCTTCTCCTGCGTCTTCAAGAACGCCTCAAGCTCGCACCATCCATCCAACCTATCCGCACCACACTCGGGAAAATTTAGCCCCAGCGGCAGAGTCCGCTGATTGAGAATGAAATGTATATACGTGGTCTCCTCGCCTTCTTCATATACACGCTGAGCACTCAATGGTGAAGGAGTCTTGATTATTTCAATATCGAGTCTGGCGCCAAATGGCTCAAGGTGGGAGACCGTAAGATTGTGGGGGCCGGGGTAGTGCGTCGCAGGGAGGAAGGCATTGAACTGTTTAAAGCCGAAGGCGGTGAGGATGCTCATGATATTCGTGTCGTGCGAGAAGTCAAAGTAGAGACTTTGGTTTAGGGGAAAGGTCTCCGTGCTAGAGTCCAGGGTTGTGTTGATTTGGGAGCCGGAGTAGCCGAGCGTGTGGTTTTGGAGACGGGCAATAGTCTCTTGGACATAACCGAGTCCGACTGCGCGACCAGTTGGCGACTAGAGGGTGTCAATGGTGTTGCGATAGATTGGTGAGCGAAATACGAACCTGGAAACTGGAACTTCCTGCGAAGTAGAGGTCAAGAGAATACTCGAAGTGAACCCATTCCTCATAAGTGAAGAGATCACAGAAGACACTGTATCCATAAGCCACCTGCTAATCTTTAGCGGAGTCTCGGAAAAGATTTGTGGAATAGCTTACAGTTTCATATGGGCACATGTTTTGCATCGCGTAAACATCCTCAATCGTAAGCTCATAGCCCTTAACCAGAGGTCTCAAACGCTCCGTTGCGTCTTTGAGATAGACCCCGACCCATTCAGCAGTCGCGTTGTTGCCACCAGCGTTCCGGAAGCTGTTTGCATTGTTGCAGTTGTCGTAGCCGGCAAGAGAATTATTGAAGCCCGGCGCTTCGATAATGACTTCGATGGTGGCATTGTTGGTCCATTCGAGACCGAAAAAGCCTGCCATGAAATACTCCGCGCTCTAGAGGTCATGTTAACACAATGATGATCAATGAGGAAGAGAGGAAGATATACCTTCAGCATCCGATCTTGGGTAGTTGTCCGAACGATAATCTTACTATTCGGATTATACATTTTCCCATAAAGGTAGTAGTGCAAAACTCCACTTTCAAACAGCTCTTGTCGCCCTCTTGGAACCAGTATCTCTCGGCCGAGCTCATACTTCCACTCATTCAAGAATGAAAGCTGACCTTCGGCTTGGAATTTTCCGGTGAGGTTGGCCATCTTGTTTCCGAAAACATTTACATTGGCACCCGAGGTGGGATATCTCGACCCATGACGGGAAAGCATCTAATGAAGAAAATCATCAACACTGGCTTCCTCGAACACGGATCTCCAGCGGAACACCTACGTGAACCTGCGTAATATTAGCCCCAGGAGGCAGCGGATACTCCGAAACCCCAAACCCCGCTGGACTCGGGCTATACGGTGACAACTGCCCCATTAAATGGAAGATACTCTCATTGTTCTTCTTCTGTCCCACGATCGGCATCGCTGTCTGCAACGGCGTGTTAGGAATGAAGGTAACCGTCGGAGCAAATGACACCGCATTTGTCTGAGCCATGAACGGTGCTCGCCCGGTAGCCGTAGGCCCAGCCCAGAGCTCCGGACTCGTCTGAAAATACTGCGGTACTTTCTCCTTCTTCGCTGCATCCACGTTCCCTTTTCCATCACCTTCAATCCCAGGCAGGGAAGCCGTGTTGGCAGTCCGAGCTGTAAAGATCAGAAGCAGGTTATCAAATAGCGTGCCAAAGGTGCAGTACATGATCAATCCCGCGAAGATGATCACTATAGCTTTGCTCCATATCTGCGCGCTTCTCGAATGCGTGGAGTCCTCAGAGGGGGAGGTAACCTCTTCCTCTGGGCGTTGCTTCGACAGAAGTGTGTTATCCTCCGCTGAGTCCCGCATCGTAACTGATTAACTGATCTCACCACGGTTCCTATACGGGGCCGAGCCTCTTTCGCTAAATAGCCGAATGCAAACAAACCGAAAAGATGGCTCGCAATGAATTTGGCGAGGTCTAGTGAAAATTCACTTCATGGGATCTGTTCTTGACGTTGACGTTGAGATGTGTGACGTGAACCTGGCGCATTTGTATTCCCGCGCCAAGATATATCAACAGGGGTGGGAGGAAATAGCTTCCATTCCGTAAGCCTCCACATCACGCTGCTTCCCTCGTTCTTCTGATGAATGAATGGAAATATATCCGTTGGACAATAATCTGAGTCCAAAATCCAATGTTTCTGTCTTTCTGATGAACTCCTGTGTTTTTTTACATAAAAAAGAAATCAGAACCGTGTTCTCGGGCCCCTGACGTCAAGCAAGCTCTTTTATCGCCGAGGGCTAGCTAGCATTCCATACGGATGGATGTGAAGAGGGGTTCCAGTATTGGTAAATAGATACTTATATAGCAAGCAATATATGCCCTCGCATCCAATTCCAACTTTCTTCCATCGAAACCCTACTGCTAGAGCCAAAAATTTCCTCACATCGCTATTCAACATGGCTAAAAACATTCCCGAAAAGATGCTAGCGGCCCAGGTGGTCGAGGTAGACCCACATCTCCACGCTTTCCCTTCACGATAGCTTATCAGGTAAATACCAGTTCAAAAAACCCTACGAGATCCACGAAGTCCCGGTCCCCGGAAAGGAGCTCAATGAAAACGACATGCTCGTTAAGGTCGCCGTTGCTTCTCTCTGCCATACAGACGGTATGGTAACAGACGGCATAATGGGTACCCAGCTCCCCTGTATCGCCTCTCACGAAGGTCAGCAAAATCTCATCTCATTTTCTCCTTTACTTAGGACCGGGCTCGTGTCTTAGTATTCGAGATCCCATTTAAGCCCTCGGCCCTTGTGAAGCCGAAAGAGAATTGATACTTATTTTCCGCGGAAAAGGCTCCGGCACCGTCGTCAAAGTCGGTTCCTCTATCACCGAATTCAGAGTCGGCGACCGAGTCCTCTGTTCTCTAACCTATCACCGCTGCCGGAAATGCACAACGTGCCAACGTGAAGAGCGTGACACGCAATACTGCCCAAACGTTGGCGGCTATCTAGGCGTAACACGCGATGGCTCCTTCGCTGAGTACGAAATCGTCGATGGGAGGGAATGTTGCAAATTGCCTAAGAACCTGTCATTCCAATCCGCTGCTCCTCTAGCCTGCGCAGGCGTCACGGTATGGGGAGGTCTGATTCGCGCTGGCTTGCAAAAAGGGGAGATCGTTGCGATCATTGGGGCTGGAGGCGGACTTGGGCATCTTGGCATACAGTTCGCAAAGGCTTTGGGGCTGAATGTTGTCGCTGTTGATGCCAGGGATGAAGGGTTGACGCTGGCTAAAGAGTGTGGTGCTGATTTTGTTGTGGATGCAAGAGGTGGCAAGGAGAAGGTTGTGGAGGAGGTGAAGACTGTTACGGGGGGACGGCTGGCCGATGCGACGGTGAACGTTAGCGAGCATGAGACGGCGGCACCGACAGGTGCTGCGGTGACGAAGATGCATGGTGTGCTTGTGCAGATCGCTCAGCCGACGAACGTTTCTGTCCCATTCGAAGAATTGGTATTCAGGGACATCAGAATTCATGGCTCGCTAACCAGTAAGTTCGCTGTCACTTCCGACATAGTACATTGGTGCTAATGCCAGCAGGTTCGAGGGAAGAATGCAAAAAAATGCTGGAAGTCGTATCCAAACACAACATCAAGGTCAAGACCAATCTTTTCAACGGCATCAAGGAGATTCCAAACGCCGTCGAACTTGTCCGCTCAGGCAAGATGCAAGGCAAGCCGGTTATCTTGATTGATAATGAGGCGATTCAAATGGAGAAGAAATCGGGTTTGAACATGGTCTGAAGATGTTGCGGCGGGTGTGGCACTTTGGCGCGGTGCCGAGGATGAAGCTGATGTGGCATAAAAGGACAGGGATCAAAAGCACGGCGCAGAATGGGCCAGGTGTAAGAGAAGTTCGAGCCGTGCAGATATGTCTCAATGAGTCTATATAAATAATTTTGACGAAGAAATAAATGTGTGGCATGGATAACTGCTAAACAAAATGCCTCCTATCAAATTGGCCAATATCTGTGTAAATAACGTATAGAAATTATGAGCACCATAATGAGACATTGCGAGTGGTTATATCTTGAGAAAGAAAAGACCCCCTGAAAAATTGTGACAATCATAATAGGACAATCCTAATGGTACCTTCCGCAACAAGATACTTACTTCATACGCTTCACTTTCCTGTCCACGGGACCAGCCGACCTCTTTCCTACAGAACCACCCTTAAGCTGGGCAATGAGCCCGCTCAGCTTGTCTCGGTACGACTGAGGTGCTGGACCCCAACCGATGGTTTCTAGGAGAGCCAGGATCTCCTCAAGCACTTCAACAAAATGCTGAGCTTCTGGGAGGTCCTGCAAGGCCTTGATGACAAAGGTCCCGCCAGCAGGGTTAGATCGGGAGGTAGAACCAATGAGACGCTCGTAGAGGTTGCGATCAATCGATTGCTCTCCGTGAGGGCGGCATCTTGGCCACGTAGATTGCTGATAACAGTCGTGGTTCCGCTCTCTGACGACCATTGAGAGGATTGAGACCAATGATTTCGCTGCCTCGCTACGAGACGCCACGTCCAAAGGCTGCCTAATGGTGACATTCATACTGATTTCATCCACAATATCAACAAGTGTCTGCGCACTCCAAATCAAATCGTGTTTACCAGAGACTGGACCGACCTCGCAATACTCGTCCAGAAGACCAAGGACGTTTTTTGCCTTGATACCCATTTTTTCGAAATATGCCGCAGCACGGACATTGTGGGAAATGAGGGTGTTGAATTGCCGAAAGATATTGTCGTCCATGATAAGAACCCTGGCAATTGTGGCCTCCAAGTCACGCCTGACCAGGATAGGCTCCATGGTAACGTCGTGGGATGAATCGAAGATATCTTCTCTGAAGTGATCCGTATCAACGTCAGAAAATGTTGCCATGATATCGCGGACAGCGTCCATTTTTTCCTTGACCAAGCCCCCGACCAGTCGCCTAGGCTTCGGAGGTGACAAGACCTTCTTAAGCTGCCATTGGGTCTCCTCAGTGTCCGAATCCATGCCCTCCCTGAGCTCCCACTGAAGGTCCTCACACAAGTTACCCAGGCCAATCTGAGATATATGGTCATAAGGAGTGACGGAAGTTCGTCCGCCGCCCATTGAATAGGCTCCTGTGCGTGAGAGTTGGTTGAGAAACCATTGGATATGGCGACAGTTTCCTCCCCCAGCGCAAGAGCAAGTTGAGCGTCCAGACTCTGTGGTGCCCAGTCGAATGCTGTATCTCTCTACCTCGGCATATGCGATCTGGAATGCAAAGCGTGTGCCGTGTTGTCGGCAATGATCGAGTGCAAAAATCTGTGCCGTCTCGGCTTCCTCCTCGGACTCTTCGCTTCCGGATTCCTCATCGGAGCTTTCTTCGGAACTAGAAGGTTCCTCATGGATGGCTTTCTCTTTGCCCTTTGCTTCAAACTGGTCACGCGACGATTGCATTCTTTGGCTGATTGAGAGCTTGCTGAAGCTCGAGATCGGGGAAGACATGTGGGTGAGGATAGTGGTAATGGAGGATCTGCTGGATTAGGGATACCATCGCGACATGTATCGGTTTATATAGTAGCAACGCAAAGATACTTGCGTATCTGTGCATGTGAGGAATCGCTCCCGAGTCACTTCGAAGAACATCTCTAGGCGCTTAAGCCCTGCTGGCTGTTAGGAAAAGGTCTGATATCTGGCCGCTGGCCGCCTGGAAGGCCGGCTGGAAGAGCGATGGAAAACAATTGTGTACACAAGGGTTCGTATTGGGTGAGTACAGTAGGGCAATAGAGGGTATGCGATGCTGTGCTGTGACCCGGAGAGGCTGGAGAGGGGAGGATGAAGGTTGGTGGTGACCCGAAATCGTGACCGAAATCGTGACCGAAAGCCTTGTCCTCTGTAGTTGAGGGATCCGACCCCGTGACTGGCTAGCGAGACGTCAAGGCTGACAAGAAGCTGAGCCTCCACTTCACATATTTTACCCACCTCAACATTCATCCGGGCCTTTCATCGCTCACAAACTCCCACTCTCCGCTGGCCAACCCTTAGCAGCGCGGCAAGCCCGTCTATCATCTGTCTTCGCCACATTCACGTCTGCACTCGGACGCCGCAGAGAGACGCCGTAGAGAGACGCCGTTCCGATGTTGCTCTCATTGTCAAGCGCATTGCCCTTGCAGAGGTTGGCCCCCCTCTCTCCAGGAGAGCCTGTCCAGCCTAGTGAAAAGGGTACGGTCAACAATCAGGCCAGACTAGGAACTTGGCTCTTCCGCTATGAGAGCACTTGTGAGTTTGCTCTTTCAACAAGGACTCTGAGGCCTATCTATCGTACGAGTCAAGGTATCGCAGCTCTTGTGAGCTTTTGGCTTGAAATTGTTGGTTTGCTATTATTTGTTAGTACCCCAGAGCTGGCTCGAACCACTCGGCAGACGGTCACTTGGCAGGATATGCAAGCACTTCATGTCCCCAACACCGGCTCACCGTGGTCGTGGATTTATTTGCATCGACCATACGTCAAGTGACGCCCAACTACATGCTGCCCCAACGCAGCCACGGCACAGCGATCTCAACGGTATCAGAATTAGTTCCTCTTCTCAGACCACGGTCTCATTGCACATTCTTCTGGAAAAGAATTATGGCGAAGAGACGGGGGGAAGGCACAAAAGTGGCTGAATTGGCAGGAGGTTAGCAGCCATTTGGGACCGCTATAGTAGAATGGAGCAGCAGCAGCCCGCCAGCCTTCATCTCTTCAGCTCTCTCAGACAGTGAATTGGCTCTCGAAACAGTGTCCTAATTCACGGGAAGTATTGAATAGAGGTAATGTCGAACGTGCCTCGAGCTTACTTGGTTTGAGTTTGCCACTTCGGCCCTAAAATGCTCCTCAACTTTGCCGGCCACCAGTATGTAACACTCCTGTACATTTTCATCATACGCACCGCAACTGGACCGCCTATTGAAGATCAAGGACGACTCTCCCTTGCATCTTCCCTTCAGCCATCTCTTGGAAGACTTCGGTCAATTTCTCCATCGTTTCTAACCTCACGCGAGTTTTGACAAGGCCTCGTGCAGCCATATCCAGAACCTCAAGAGCCTCTCGCTGGTTTCCTACTGCGCATCCCTTGATTTTGTACTCCATGCTTACCATTACGGCCGGGAATGCGTTTGCAATTGGGACAAAGTCTCCTTCTGGCATACCAACACAGACCATAGTCCCTGCATATCGTAAAAAATCCAGTGCCTGAGCATAGGCTTTGTTCGAGGCCGTGCATACAATTACAGCTGAAGCTCCGAGCCCTGAATCAAGTCAGCTATCAGAGGCTCCAGTTGGCTTGTATTAAGAACCCCCAATCGCTCGCAGTCGACTAACCTCCTGTCGCCTTCTTAACCTCTTCCGCAATTGTCTTATCATCGAACTTTGTCACATCGATGAACACTTCAGCTCCACACTCCTTGACCAGGCCCTCCTTACTACCATGATCAATTCCAATGATTCTTAAAGCCATGCCTCTCGACCCAATCTGGCAAGCCAGATGTCCCCTATCGAATTAGCGGGAGACTTGAGATTTCGAATCAGATACTTACAACCCACCACCAGCTCCAGCTATTCACATATCAGTCAATCACTATCTCTGACTGAAATCAAAACATCACTCACAGATAACCACCCATTGTCCGCTCTTCGCATCTGACTTGCGCAAGGCTGTATATCTACATAGAAAACGGGTAAGCTTCGGTTCGCTTGTTCTCGACTTCTCATGCGGCCGAATCTGCGACCTCTTTCTTCACGGCAGCAGTGCACAAGAAAAAAGGGAAAAGACAGCACTCACGATGCGATACCTGCGCAAAGCATAGGAGCGGCGGCTTCCGAGGCCAATGCTTCTGGAATCGGTGTGACGTAATTGGCAGGTGCTAGAGCGTACTGCTGAAATGTTCCAGGATCTAATCGAATCATTAACGCCTGCCCCTTATTTTCTCGTGGTCCTAATGGATTCGCAGCGCTCACGATAGTAACCCGAGATCTTCTGGTTCTGCCCGTCAAAACTCATTAGCCAGGCACGCCTTCACGATGCTGGGAAGAACTTACGAAACAAATGCCATCTTTTCCTTCCAAGCAAGGCGGACAAGCACCGCACGCATAGGCGACCCACTAATTCGTATTCAGTTTCCTCACTCTCCTTGCAATCACACCAAGTCTATACCTTGATACCAACTCGATCCCCCACCTTGACTCGCCCTTTCTCAGGTCCTGGGCCCAGCTTGTGGACAATGCCCACGCCTTCGTGCCCTCCTACTTGTCCAGGCAGTGTTGGGTATGGGACTATGTCACTATCAATACAGTATATCTGGTTTCCTGCTCTCCTGTGGGAATATCTGCGGGTGACAGGATGCCTTACGTCCGCGCCACGAGTTCTCCATTACGCCCATGTCAGAGTGGCAGACTCCTGAGTGGGTTCTATTCACCAGAATACGTCAGCTTTCATGTTCTTGACGATTTTTTCACGACTTGGGTACAGGGGAAGAGGGAAGGATAGGAGCACGCACAGCCGAACCAACACATCTCCAGGCCCGGGCTCAGGTGTATCAAGCTCCTCGATCTTCGTGGATATCGTTCCCGGTTTATCGTACACGACCGCCTTGTATTTCTTTGGGATGTCAAATGTCTTCTCTGTTGCTGCGGCTGCCATTGTTTTGCACTTGCTAGATCGATTGCTATGTTTACGTCTAGGGTTGATATGGATATGATATGGATAGGCAGAAAGGAGAGGGGGACTAGGAATTCATATACGGAGTATGATACCGACACCATCGCACGAGCGGGGATATCTCCACTTCACCAACACTATCCCATGAACACATGTCGAAAGTATAATTTTGCAAAGGATCTTACCACGGCTTAAACCAATCAAGTTATAAGAATCCAGCAAAAAAAAAGTATCTTTAGGTTAGTATTTAGCCTGTGCAGTTGAGTTAATAAGGCTTTAAGTCATTCAGAAACCACCGCTCTATGATTTATAGGCTTAAACTAGGTCCGATATGTATTCATAAGGGGGGATAGTCCTTTAACTACCGCTCTATGATATATAAGCCTAAACTGGGTCCGATATGTATTCATAAGAAGTGATAGTAGTACACATAAAAGGACTATCCCCCCTTATGAATACATGTCTGACCTAGTTTAAGCCTATACATCATAGAGCGGTGGGTTCTACAGTAAATGGCTCAAAGCCTTATGAACTCAATTGCGCAGACTAAATACTAACTTCAAGATACTTTTCAAGGCTGGATTCTTATACCAGTACTATCCCTCCCTATGAATACATATCGGACCTTGTTTAGGCCCGTAAATCAGAAAGCGGTGGTTTCTGAATGGCTCAAAGCCTTATCAACTCAACTGCACAGTTTAGATACTAACCTAAAGATACCACGGTACAGGCCTAAGTATTACCCCTCGAGGGTGACTCAAAAGTTTAGTTTCCACTTTAAACCCCCTGGTTACCCTACCCTCGAGGGCTAATACTTACGCCTGGGGCGTAGTATAAGAATTTGAAGCAAAAGGAAAGATTCTAAGCAAGACGGAAGATACTGTAAGTGAAGTTGGTTATAGTAGTACGTAGTACTTTTCAAGGCTAGTTAATTAGTTTAAGCTTTGATAAGATCCTTTGCAAAATTATACTTTCGATATGTACGTAGTACGTACAGTAGTACCGGTATTCATACGTAGAGGGGATAGTATCCCCCCACCCTAAATACTGCATGTACGTAGTAGTACGGTACGTAGTACGGTACTGTACAGTACTTTACGTAGTAAAAGACGAAAAGTATATTTTTACCAGGGGTTGACCAGGGGGTTGTAACCCTAACGCTTGAGAGGCAGTTCCTCAAGAGTTCATTATTTGTTTTATATAACTCGTAGTAAAATCGATATCAAGTAATGATTAATGCTCACGGGGAACTTATAGAATACTAGAAAACAAATATATACGTTATTTTGCTACATTTTACATTTAATAAGCGGTCAGCTTTATGGTCAAAATATGCTCACCAAGTGGGTCTGTCTTTTATTTTTGGGGGGATAGTACGAAGTACTACGTACCACGGTACAGGCCTAACTAAGTATTACCCCTCGAGGGTAGGGTAACCAGGGGGCTTAAAGTGGAAACCACACTTTTGAGGCACCCTCGAGGGGTAATACTTAGACCTGTACCGTGGTACCGTACTTGGTGAAAGACACGATTCCAAGGGTGGCACGGATAGACTTTTGCTGTGTTTTGGATCTCCTTTGAAACTCCTGTCTGCTACGTACTACTACTAGTAGTAAGTACAGTAAGCCCCGCGCGTTTTGAGGCTAGGATCGCCCGAGGTCTGTTGATGTGGCGGGCTAATGCGAGGTAGATTTTCTCCCCCGGGAATCCGGAAGCCTGTGAAACCACGCCCAATCCTTGACATTGTTATTACAGTAGTACCGGTAGTACATCGAAAGAAAGTCGCATGGGAGTCTATGGGTTTGGATATGCAGGAAGACTCCGGTTGATAAGAGAGAGGTAGGACTCATGGTTATGATAGGTGCTATCATGCGTAGCTACAAGATGGTTTGTTTACTTGATGGGCCTTCTGGTAAGTGTTTGTTTTGCATAAATGGAAGAGAAGATGGGAACTTTGCGACGAAAGCCTTCCTTCCATTTGGTAAATATATCCCGCGTTGCCATCTTTATACCAGATGGCAGTAGCTATCGCTGCCGCAAACGATTCTTTCCCACTTCGTGTGCCAGTGGGCCAGTATCGTATTTCGATTTTGGTCAGGAGTTTGGGTGAACGGCTGCGACCTGCGATCCCAGTGAATGTAGTTCTCGCTTTAGATTTTACGTCGCTTGTTGGGTTTGCTTTCTCCCCTGGAGGAATGGAAGTTAGACAGTGATTGATTGGGTTGGAGGAAGCGAGTATACAGAAGAAGCGAGATTTACCCCGACTGCTCATACAGTGTAAGCCATACCGGTATCGCAAGCCCAGTATCTCCAGGCTGGAAGCGAATTCCGTGCCAGTCAGACCCAGGATCACACTTCCCATTGCCACACTCTCCCAGTCCTATTTTGCCTGTAGACATACCTCATATCACGTGTCGCACGGTAAGACTCTTGGCAGTTCAGCCCAACGACGGGCTCGGAATCACGCCGCCAAACTATCGCCAGCAGTCCCACGCGTCCAGTATCCAGCCAGACCGACCTGTGGCAGATGGATTGATGGCCTCTCTAACATCCTATTACGAGATCCTTGCGCTCCCTCCAGCCCTCCGCGCCGAGTTAACGCTCCCGGCGCGAACCCTTCGAACTGCGTACCGGCGTGCCCTCCTGCAGAACCACCCCGATAAATCGACCTCCCAGACTCCAACCTCCGCATGTGCCCCTAAGCAAACGATTTTTTCCATCGATCAAATTACGAGAGCCTACTCTACTCTTTCGAATCCGAAAACGCGGAGGGAGTATGATAAAGAGCTGAAGCTGCTGTGTGTAGGTGGAGGTGTCAATAAAGAGGGAGGGGTAGAGGGACAAAAGGAGTGGCGCACGGGCATCGAGACGGTAGATTTGGACGATTTGGAAGGGGGAGATGGAAATTCAGGCGGGGAGCAAGAGGGAGACGCGGTTTGGTGGAGAGGGTGCAGATGTGGTGACGAAAAGGGCTTTCTGATCAGCGAGAGCGACCTGGAGGACGCGGCTTGTGAGGGGGAAGTTAGTGTGGGCTGCAGAGGCTGTAGTCTTTGGTTGAGGGTCCTGTTTGGGGTCGTGGAGGATGTAGATGGGGCCAACAAGAAGGAGGAGGGCGTGGAGTGAGGTCTGCATGGCGTGTACTATATGGCATGTCTGCGAGGAGAATGAGCGACTTCCGGCTTTCACTGCTTATGCCAGTTGATGGGAATACCGGTACATGAAGCATGTATGCCCGGCTGGACGACTTTCATAAATTGCCAGATACCAGCCGCCAGCCTGGGTATAATGAGCCCATATCATAAAGCCAATGCCTAACTAAGAAGAGCGCATCTGCTGCTGCTGGTGTTGGTGTTGGTGTTGGTGTTGGGAGTTATGATGTGCCGACTTCCTATGACTTCCATTCAGAGGCCGGAGCCGTTCTTGGTCGCCTCAAACTTGCGGTATATTGATTCCTCTTGCAACGCCCGATGGAAGATCAGAGAATACCAACACCTCGTGTGAGCAATGCGTGTTGTTGGAAATTCCTTTTGTTGCTGAGTGGCCACAAGGTCTTCCACGAAGTTCTGCATATATCCCATAAAGGCGGTGAGTGACAGAGGCAAAACTCAAAGAAGACTAGCCCCTCCAAGGCCAGCTACTTAGAAGTGGGAGTGGAAGACAAGTCTGTTACCTAGCCGGATACGGTCGGTACTCGAGTCGTCCCTCCAAGTTCAGCTTCCACCGTACTGTCCTAGTACTTTCTCTTCGCCCGATGCGTTTCCTAACCTCTGCCACCTCTCTCCTTGCTGTGGCCCAGAGACGCTTTTTCTTGACGACGACGATAATAACAACAGCAGCAACGTTTCAGACGAGGGCTCTTAGTCAATCGATTCACTCTTCTTCAGCCACCCTTCAATACAGTTCAATGTAAGTAAGCCTATATAGACTTTGACCCCGCATATAGAGAGGCATTTTCTTTCATCAGCGAACGACCTTTGCAAATCAGCATTATTGAACAGTCATAATTCTGCAAGCCTACCTACCAACCTGTCCAAAGAGCTAACGGTCAAAAAGACTCAATCCGATTTGCATTAGACGACCTCAGCCTTTAGCATTTCCCAAACAACTTTCTCCTACATATACCGCAACTCGAAACTGCTCCTACCAAAGAGACAAGATGTGTATATCGCAGGCAGACGTTGGTATGGAGGGTGGCGCAATGCCAAACACCAAGGGTAGACAGATCCTACCTGCGCATACAAAGCCTTTGCATTACAATATTACCTTGGAGCCTGACTTCACGACCTTCAAGTACAGAGGCTCGGTCGTTATTGATCTGGACGTTGTGGAAGATACAGACAGCATCTCCGTGAATACTCTGGAGCTTGAGATCCTCTCTACCAAGGTTATTTCTGGTGTCGATACTGTTGTCAGGTCAGTACCTGGCTGGATAGACGCTTCCTCACAAATTTGAGGACATAGCTGACAATTGACAGCGCATCCCCATCTCTCACCTATGATGAAGACTCACAAACCACCAAAGTCGCTTTCGAAGGAAAGACTCTTAAAAAGGGGTCCAAGGCACAGCTACTCATGACATTTAACGGGGAGCTCAACGACAAGATGGCCGGATTCTATCGCTCGACATACAAGAATGCAGATGGTAGCGAGGCTATAATGGCAACCAGTCAAATGGAGGCTACAGATGCTCGCAGAGCATTCCCATGTTTCGATGAGCCAGCACTGAAGGCCGAGTTCACGGTCACGTTGATTGCCGATAAGAAATATACGTGTCTGAGCAACATGAATGTGTCTTCAGAGAAGGAAATCACATCAGACTATAGTGGAAGTGTCAAGAAAGCTGTGAGCTTCAACAAGTCTCCGCTCATGTCAACATACTTGATCTGCTTCATCATTGGGGAACTCAACTACATTGAGTCAACCAAGTTCAGAGTTCCCGTCAGAGTCTATGCACCTCCCACATCAGACATTGAGCACGGTCGCTTCTCGTTGGACCTGGCAGTAAAAACCCTGGAATTCTACGAAACCACTTTTGACAGCAAGTTTCCCTTGCCAAAGATGGATATGGTCGCTATCCCCGATTTCGCGGCGGGAGCCATGGAGAACTGGGGCTTGATCACTTATCGTGTTGTCGATCTTATGTTGGACGAGAAGACTAGCGGAGCCTCGACCAAGGAGCGTGTTGCAGAAGTTGTGCAGCACGAGCTTGCTCACCAATGGTTCGGAAACCTCGTGACCATGGACTTCTGGGATGGACTTTGGCTTAACGAGGGTTTTGCAACATGGATGTCTTGGTATTCTTGCAATGTCTTCTACCCGGAATGGAAAGTTTGGCAAGGATATGTTACCGACAACCTGCAAAGCGCTCTTGGCCTCGACTCTCTCCGCAGTAGTCATCCTATTGAGGTCCCGGTCAAGAGAGCTGACCAAGTAAATCAAATCTTCGATGCTATTTCCTACTCAAAAGGATCTAGCGTTATCCGCATGGTATCAAAGTACCTCGGCGAGGATGTCTTCATGCAAGGTATCAGAGATTACTTAAAGAAGCATGCTTATGGCAACACTGAAACTGGTGACCTGTGGCACGCTTTGAGTGCTGCCAGTGGAAAGGATGTGGAGGCTGTTATGGACATTTGGACCAAGCATGTTGGCTTTCCTGTCGTCTCCGTCACGGAGAATGCAGGTGACAACTCAATCCACGTCAAGCAAAACCGTTTCCTCCGCACAGGGGATGTCAGTCCTGACGAGGACAAGGTTCTTTACCCTGTCTTCTTGGGTCTTCGTACCAAGAATGGCGTTGATGAGTCACTTGTCATGTCGACCCGGGAGGAGGACTTCAAGGTGCCAGACACCGACTTTTTCAAGCTTAACGCAGATCATGGCTCCCTCTACCGCACATCATACACACCAGAGCGTCTAGAGAAGCTCGGTCAGGCCGCTAAGGACGGTCTCTTGACTGTTGAGGACCGCGCCGGTATGATCTCAGATGCAGGAGCCCTCGCTGCCTCAGGTTACGGCAAAACTTCAGGTGTACTGAACTTGCTGAAAGGCTTCAGCGGTGAGAAAGAATTTGTTGTGTGGAGCGAGATCATGACACGACTTGCATCCGTCAAAGGCACGTGGATATTCGAGGATAGCTATATCAGAGATGGTCTTGAAACTTTCCAGCGAGATCTCGTCAGCGAACTTGCTCATAAGCTCGGTTGGGAATTTACAGAAAAAGATGACCATATCCAACAGCAGTTCAAGGGCCTCCTTTTTGGAAGTGCTGGTATGTCGGGTGACAAGGTCGTTATCAAGGCTGCGCAAGATATGTTCGCCAAGTATGCCGAGGGCGACAAGTCTGCCATCCATCCCAATCTCAGAGCCAATGTTTTTGGTATGAACTTGAAATATGGTGGCGCGAAAGAGGTTTGTAAAATCCCGATCGAAGTCGAGACATTGCTAAACACTTCTAGTACGATGTCATCCTCGATACATACCGCACGGGTAAGACAGCCGATGAACGCAATACCGCTCTTCGTGCTCTTGGGAGAGCCTCAGATCCTGAGCTCATCAAGAGATCCCTCGCTTTGTCACTGGGAGGTGAAGTCAAGGAACAAGACATCTACATGCCCGTCAGCGCGCTCAGAACACATCCTGCTGGAATCGAGGCTTTATTCAACTGGATGACCGAGAATTGGGAGGAGATTGCAAGAAAACTTCCTGCTGGTCTGTCCATGCTTGGCTCGATGGTCTCAATCTGCACGTCCAGCTTCTCTAGCCAGGCCGACTATGAACGTGTCGAGAAGTTCTTTGCCACCAAGAACACCAAGGGCTTTGAAATGAGTCTTGCACAGAGTCTTGATGCTATCAAGGCTAAGAGCCAATGGCTTGAGCGGGATAGAGAGGATGTTAAGAAGTGGGTCGAGTCTTACGAAGGTAAGACCATTAAGAGCTAGCTGTAAATTAGTGTTCTTATACCATGCGGTGGGCATCAGAGCCGGTAGCGCAACATTCGGGGTGGTGGCATAATGCAGCATAGCGATTAGATACAGAGCTCAACAATAGGTAATTCACGAGGCGTGATTGTTTACAAATAATTGCTCCCCCTTCACCATGTGATCAGGTGGCTTCAGGGGCTCGCTTGGCTTGCGAGCTAGCGGATTCTCACCCGCTTCATCACAGGTGTCAAGCATCCAAGCGACTGGCGTCCACGAACATTTCTCCTTACCAAACCCTCACCAACAATCGTCTATTCTCACCTCACATTTGCAAATTGAAAGTCTCAACACCATATCACCTTGGGCACCACATATCCCACTTCTTGCTGCACAAAGTCCATGTCGTCATGACTCCGGGCATTCCCCCAATCCACATTCTGGGCGCCGGCATAAGCGGCCTCACCCTGGCCCGCTGCCTCCGAAACCGAGGCATTCAGTCAATCGTATACGAAAAGAGTCCGTCGCCGGCGTATCACAATTATGGGATCTCGTTGCAGCCGTGGACGTGCAGGCTGTTGCTTGGCGTATTGGGGATTGAGGAGGGGGCTTTCGTAGGCGGTGTTGCTGTCGATGCAGCGAAAGGCGGACGGGGTGTTTTGCATTCTGAGAGGCTGAGAGGGGAAGGGGGAGGAGGGGGTGAGGTGTTGAGAGCGCATCGTGGGAGGCTGGAGGGGTTGTTGAGGGAAGGGGTGGATGTTAGGTGGGGTCATGCGTTGGACGGCTTTGAGGCTGAAATCGAGAGGAGTAGCAAGTACGGTACGGGGTTTGTCTTGAATTTCAAGGATAGGGAGGGTGTGAGCGTGAGGGGAGGCTTTGTGGTAGATGGACTGGGTGTCCACTCTCTCGTGCGAAGGTCGCTGCTCCCGGATGCGGGACTCAATGTTCTGCCGTACGTCGTCTTTCGCGGGACGAGGAAGATTGAGGGACGCACGTTCAAGGAAATCTACCAAGATGCTTTGGGTGGTGGCAATGTGGTTGAGATGAAGACGGGCGATGTGCTGTTACAGATCTCGGTTAACGATTATCATCAGGACGGAGAAGGGGCGGATATCTCGTGCATTTACTCTCGTCCTGCTCGTCCGGATGACACGCTTCATCGTCCTGGTCGCAGCACAGGAGAAGCTGGTAATATCTCCGAAGCGTTCTACAGGGAGGTCTCGCAGCTGAGAGAGCTGAAACAGCCATTTCAGGATGCTTTTGATGAGGAGAAGGTTAGGAAGGGACGGACATTGCACTGGTTGATGAGAGACTTGATGGTCCCGAAGGAGGAGCTGGACGGGTTGGCAAAGAAGGGAGTGCTGCTTATCGGGGATTCGGCGCATGCGCTGCCTATTTTGGGCGGAGAAGGGGCGTGTTTTGCTGTAGGTGATGCAGTGAAGCTGGCTGATGCTATTGAGAAGGAACGTGTGGACGCGTCCTACGGAGAGATGTATGGCGAGTGGGAGGGGGCAATGAAGAAGGGGAGAGAAACTTTGGCGAGGATGCATGAAGGGAAACCTGCGAGTAGTTTGTGATCTGACGGGCTTGAGATGGCACTTTAGCACCGTCACGGGTCTAACTTTTCACATTGGAAAAGAAAACCTTATAAAGAGTCCCCGACTGCTTTCCTTTCGCATTCCAAAGTCCCCATGTTGTTCTGGGACATCTCGCTTAGAGTAACTCCCACAAGCGACTTCTGGGAAAGGGGTATAGAAGGAAAGTAAATATACAACGTGATAACAGGGGCCTCTGAAGTTCGAAAAGCTGGAGTTTATCACATCTCGGAGGGTAGTGTAAAATTTCCCTTCCAAATACAAGAGACATTATCAAGTCCCCCTCGGCAAGCCAATGAGGAAATCGTCGTCTTCTTTCCGTCCAGTCCAAAAGAAAATAAAATCCGGATTTCCATCCATCATTGTCTTCTAGGTTTGTAT